GAGATAACCAGGGTCCCTCTCTTCTGCTCTCAGATACAGAAGTACTTAGGTAACCCCACCCTTGTTGTTTTTCTCTCCAGAGCATTCCACTGGGAACACAGGTTGCCCTGTGATAACACCAGGAGGACACAGTGTCCCAGTGCAGGGGCTGCTTTTGACCCAGCTGGGACCAACCCTCCACAGCAGCAAGGCTCTGTGGGTAAAGAGAAGGGCGGGCCCCAGACCCCTCCTTTGCCCTGTTGTGCTCTCTCCTCTCCCTAATCAGGGCCATTCCACACACCACAGACGTCAGAGGTGATGGCCTTGAGCCCCGGGCAAGGGTGCAGGGGTGTGGTCAGCGTTTCAGCCTGGCCCGCGCTGGTGCTGGCTGAGACTCTTTGGGACACTAACCCGGGGCAGAGTCCATGATCTCCAGGTCACCTGAGGAGCAGAGGGAGCCAGAGGGACTTCAGGCCCGAAATTGTGCTGAGCTCTGGGAAGTGTTGGGAGAGATCGATGTGGGCTGCTCTGCGGGCTGGAAAACGCCCTTCCCTGGCACTTGGTGAGGACTCGGAGCCCGTGGGTCCTGATGCCAGCACTTCAGTCCTGCCAGTTGGTAGTGACTGGATCTGGGAGAAACGCTGGTGAATTTTTATTTTTATTTTATTCATTCCTTTGTCGTTATGGAGAAAGACAAGTGCCATATGATTTCACTCATATGTGGAATTTAATAAACAAACTGAACTACCAGCAAAGTAGAGACAGACTCATTGATAGAGAGCAGGCAGACAGCTTGGGGGGGAGGGGGGTGATGGAGCAAAAAAGATGAAAAAGAGAGAGAGAGAACTCATGGACACAATCAACAGTGTGGTGATTGTGGGGGAGGGGTGGAGGTGGAAGTGGTCATTGAGGGAATAAATGTGATGCAAAAGTTAAATTACATTGAAAAATAAAGTAATACTATTAGAATGGCTATCTAAAAAATACAGAAAATAACAAGTGTTAGAGCGAATGGGGAGAACTTAACCCTTGTGTGTTGTTGGTGGGAACATAGAATGGTGCAGCTACTGTAAAAAGCAACATTCTGGTTCCCCCCAAATTAAACAGAATTACCATGCAATCCAGCGATTCCATTTCTGGGTATATGCACAGAAGAACTGAAGGCAGGGGCCTGAAGAGGTATTTCTCCACCAATATGCAGAGCAGCATTATTCACAATAGCCAAACAGTAGAAGTGACCCGAATGTTCATGGCCAGGTGGCTGGATAAGCCAGTGTGGTACGTATATGCAATGGAATATTATCCAGCCAAACAAAGAAAGGAAATTCTGATACATGTTGCAACATGAATAAACCTTAAAAACAAGCTAAGTCAAAGAAGCCAGGCACAAGAAGACAAATATTGTATGATTCCACTTACCCGAATTGTCTAGAAGAGGCAAACTCGTAGAGACAGAAGGTAGACTAGAGATTTACAGTGGTTGGAGTCGAGGATGGTAATGGGGAACCACGTAATGGATACATAGTTTCTGTTTGGAGTGATGAAGGCATTTTGGAGATAGTGATAATGGTTGTACAACATGGTGAATACAATTAATGCCACTGAATTATACATTTAAAAACTGTTAAAATGGCAAACTTTATGTCATACATATTTTCCCACAATATAAAGGAATATTAAAACATTCCTGTCTCCCATCCACAGGTAAGGACTGATACAGGTTTCATAACAAGTGTCGTGGAGCACGGTCACTCACACACAATTGCATCCACACAGTCACATTCACACACCAGAAGTTGCCGGGAGGTTATCAGACTCCCCTTCTGCCCCAGAGTGGACCAAGGAAAATTCCTTACCCAGTGGGAACATGATGAACCCCACCTAACGTCTTAGGGGGATCCCGGAGAGGAGAGGTACGCTGTGTCCGGCCCTCTCTCACCCAGAAAGACCGGTCACCCAGAACCTACCGCCGGAGGCTTTACCAGGTCTCCTTAAATCTTTCGAGGACGCCTTGGCATCTCCTGGTCACTCATCAGAAACCTAAGTAGGATCTCTGGGGCCCTGGAACGTCTCAGGGGTACGCCCCTAAAGAACGACAGGCACCTGGTGGCCAGACCGGGAGAGGCCTTCAGCCTAGGCGTCCCTCCCCTGGTGTCCTAAAGCACCAGGGGTCTCGCTGGGGCCTCCCAATGCTGTAAGGTGTCAGCCGGATACCCAGAGACGCACGGCCGAACTGTAAAGAAGCACTTTATTACACCGGCGGGCTGGGGGGGCTCTCCCCAAATCCCAGCCACCTGCCTTCTTTGTTGCCTGCTTTTAAAGGCACAAACTACAGAGGAAAAAACAAACAAACAAACTACACTCTCTTGGTGCCACTTTTGGCACCGTTAAGGGGCTGATTCAGAGAAGGGGGAGAGAGGAGCTTGCTAGAGCTCAGGGCAGCCATTTATCTCTTCTTTCTCATGGTTCCCCTGCGTTTCCCAAGGCCTCCACGAACCCCTTATCTTTATAGTTTTCTCTGGGTTTCTCAAGGCCCTTCTGTTGACAAGAAAGAGGCTGCCGAGGCGTGTACGTGCAGTCACTGAGGGTCAGAATGGGGTTATTGCAGAAGGAGGCCGAAAGGCAAGAGGTTGGCGGTTTGAGTGTCTCTCGGAGGAGGCTGACTTTGACCCTCATCAAGACTCTTAAGTGAGAGAAGAGATGGCGGGGCCAGGGGACACCTGCCAGGTCGGACCCTGGGAGAGCGGGGACAGGCAAGAGCCCTGGGTGTCGGGGAGGAGTCCTCATGCAGTGCAGGAGGGCTCGGGGCCTGGGGACCGTCACTCGGAGTGAGGACCAGGCTCTGGGGGGACTGAGGCCGCGATCCTGGAAGCAGGCTCAACCTGGCGGCCCTCAGGTGAGGTCTGAGAACGTTCCGGAAGCGTCCAGACCCGCTCAGAAACCTGCTCACTCTCTGTCCCACTTTATTTATTTATTTATTTTTTCATTCCTCATCCGAGGACACTTTTCTATTTATCATCAGGTAGTGTGGGAGGGAGGGAGGGAGACAGACAGACAGAGAGAAACATCATGTGATAGAGCAACCAGGCAATCGACTGGCTGCCTCCCACACGACCCAACCAGGGCCGGGGACAAGCCGCAACCGAGGTACGTGCCCTTGGCTGGAATTGAACCCAAGACTCTCTGGTCTGCGGACCGGTGCTCTAACCACTGAGCTACCGGCCAGGGCCCTCTTTTTTTTTTTTTTTTTTAATCCTCACCAGAGGATCATTGATTTTAGAGCGAGAGGAAGGGAGAGAGACACACATTAGTGTGAGAGAGAAACATCAGTTGGTTCCTCCGTACATGCCCCGACCAGGGATCGGACCCACAGCCTAGGTATGTGCCCTAGTCAGGGACCGAACCCGCACCCTTGTGTTGTGCGGGACAGCACTGCAACCAGCGAGCGCCGCCAGGGCTGTCCTGCCCGTTCGGGCCGCGCTCTGGCCCTTCCCGAAGCCGCCGCAGGCCTCCAGGTGCCCGTGGCCGGTTCCAGCCTCCCGAAGGCAGCAGCGACCTTCCGGACCCCAAGGGTGCGAGTGCGCAGCCGGCGCGGGAGGCCAGCGGTCTCCCCGTCACAGACACGGGGCCTGGCGTCGGGGGAGCGGTGAGCACGGGGGCAAAGCAGGTTGGCTGGGCCCCGTTGTGCTACCGCAGCGGCGACACCCACATGGACCCCGGCCGTCCCCTGCCCAGCTGTGCCGTGCTCGCCCCGCACATGCCATCAACCCTCACAGCAGCTCGGGGGGCGGGCACGGCCATCCCGGCCTCCCGGCGGCGAATCGTCTGCCGCGAATCCCCCGGGAGTGGGCGGCAAAGCGGGTTCAAAGGCAGGTTTGCCTGATCCCCACGCGGAACGCTTCCCCGTGGGCGGCAGCTCGGCTGCACAGGCCAGAGCGCGATGGGCCAGGCCAGCCGTGCCTGTGGGGCCCCCATCCCGAGAGCACCTCGGAGGGGGAAGGGCAGGGTGGAGAGGGGACCCCAGAACTCTCCCCGGGGCGTGCTCCGGGAGTCTTTGAGGAAAGCCGAGAGGCCTGTACCCCCCTCTGGGAAGGAAAAGGTGTCAGGCTGGACTGTAGACCTGGGGTCAGAGATAACAGCCAGGATGTAAGTCATCTGGGACAAAGGCTTGGACTGGCTGTTCCCGAGGCACTGAGGGTGGAGGGAAAACCCACCCAGAGGCTGCCTGGGGCCCGACCCCGCTTCCCCTATCTACCCAGGGCCTGGCAACCCCTGGCCCAGATGGGCAGAGCACACGGGGGCCCCCAGGCCCCAGGCACCTGCTTCACCCACCTTCCAGGACCCCTCCATGTTTCTAGGCCTTGCTCCTAACTCTGGAGTCTGTGGGCTTCTCCGTCAAGAGCTTTGGGAAGTAAGCAGGGATGTGGTTCACAGTGGGAGTAGGGTTGGGGTGGGCTGAACCATCATTCACATAAATAAGTCAAGTTCAAGGCACAGAAGCTCTCCTGTAAGGAGGGACCGTCTCCCCCACTGTGCGGTGAGCTCCCCGAAGCCAGGGACTGTGTCCTGCTTACCTCGTGGACACCTCGTGGAGCATGTCGGACTCATGCTCCACAAAAGGTGTTTTTCTCCTTGTCAGAGGCCGAGAACAGTGACTGGCTCATTGAGGGCACTGAATGAATATTTGTTGGCTAAGTGAATATAAGTGGATTGCCTATTTCATCTCTAGATAATGTGTGACATCTTTTTCCACTTTCCCCTTAGGGTATTCCCCACACCCATCTCAGAACACCCTGCCCCGCCCCTCCACATTCTCATCTTCCAGCCCTGGTGTCCCCCAAAGTATTCCCCTCCCGCCCCCTTCTGAGCTTTGCCAAGCAGTGGTCCCTTCCCCACCTCGGGCGCAGCAATGCCAAGAAGTCACACTGCAACCAGCCTGGGCTAGTTTCTTAGCACTTTTATTGAGTAGCGAGAGGTAGTATCACTTTCCACAGGACATGTGTCCTCAAGGTCGTACCAGAGTTGCTTTGGGACAGACAGACAGACAGGTGGCACGGCAGGGCAGGTGGCCGCAGTAGGGCGCCAGCACCAGGGGCAGCTCAGCTCTCCAGGGGGGCGGGCGCCTGCTCCTGCTCGGGGAGAGCCCGTTGCACGTCCTGTTTCTCCTGCTCCTTGAGGCTGCTGAAGAAGGAGTTGACCTTGTCCCTCAGATCCTTCTCCAGAAAGCTCAAGTGGCCTACCAAGTCCCCCGAATGGGGGCCCAGCTTCTCCTTGAGTTCCTCCACCTGCTGCACCACGGCTTTGTTGAAGGTCTCGCCGTAGGGCTCCACGTTGCGGCGGAACTCCTCCACCTGCTGGTCCAGCTGCCTGCTCAGCTCGGCCAGCGACTTCTGCAGCTCCTCCGTGTTGCCCCTCAGCTTGCCACGCACGTCCTGGGCCACGGGCGCCAGCCTCTGCCGCAGATCCTCGGTGCTGGCGGAGATTTTTGCCTTCAGCGCCTCCGAGTTCTTCTTCATCTGGAAGGCCAGGCCCTCCAGCTGGTGGTTGAGCTTCTCCTGGACATCCTGCGCGAAAGGGGACAGGCCCTGCCGCAGCTCCTGCACGCTCTGGTCGATCTTGGCCTGCAGCTCGTCGGCGTAGGGCGTGAGGCGCCCCTTGAGCTCCTCCACGCTCTGGTCGATCTTGGTCTGCAGCTCTTCGGCATAGGGCGTCAGCGAGGCCTGCAGGTTGTCGGCGTTCTCCCGCAGTGCGCTCTGCATGCGCTGGGCGTAGGGCACCAGCTGGCCCCGCAGCTGCTCCGTCTGAGCCTTGACCTGGGTGCGCAGATCCTCCGCGTAGGGCCCCAGGCGCTCCTGCAGCTGGCGGACGTTGTCCCCGATCTTCTGGCTCACCTCGCTGGCGTGGGGCAGCAGCCGGGCCCGCAGGTCCTCCAGCTCCTTCTGAATCTCCTCCTTCAGCTTCTCGGAGTCCTTGGCCAGGCGCTCATGCAGCTCCGTGGCGAAGGGCACCAGCTTCTTCTGCAGGTCCCCAGCGTAGGTGTTCACTTCCCCGAGTTTGTCCTGGAAGAGGGAGCTGTGGGGGAAGAGCGCAAGGGGCCACGGTGACATTTGGCATTAAAGCCAGGACCGTGTTCCTGACTCGGCGCTCACCTCATACACCCTGCCTAGGACGGGGAGTGTTTGGGGTACCGACTTCACCCACCGTTTCCCTGTGGTGGATCGTGATCTGAGGGAAGGGATGTAATCGACCCTCTGAGTCTCCCCGAGTCTGAGTCGCAGAAGCACGTGACCTGAGCGGACTGCTTTCCTTTGCCTGGCTGAGGAGTGGACCAGAGGTCCTTCCCCTGAGGTGCGCTGGGACATAGGTCACATTCTCTCTAGAATGCCATGTTCCGGCTCCTTCCAGTGTCTTCTAGCGACACGGTGCTGCTCCCCTCCCAGGTGCCCACCCTCAGGGCTTCCCAGATATCCCCACCTCTCTTCCTGTGACTTCGCAGGGACCTGAGCTTTCGATCCGAACCCAGCGCACCCACCACCGCCCTCCCTCCCTTTCTTCCTGAAGCTCAGTGCTGAGACGTGGCCATTTGTCACACTCGGAAAGTTCAAGCAGGGAGACACCTTAGGGATACTCGGTCCAGCCTTCCTGCGCGGACTCCGGCTCCGGAGACCTGGTGAGGGTGGTGGGCAGGGGGCGAGCCCAGCCCCGCCCAGCGCACCGCATGGCGTTCAAGTCGAACCCTGCCCGGCAGCTGTGCCCCTCTTACTTGATCTGCTGGGTGAGCTCAGACTTCTGGAGGTTCTCCACGGCCTCCTTGGCGTTGTCGCTCAGCTGCTTGAAGTAGTCCCACATCACAGTGGCCACCTGGTCGGCATTGACCTCGGCCCGAGTACCTGTGCAGGAAACAGCATGAGGACCAAACTGCCTTGCTCCTCCGACAGCCTGCGCTGCAGACGGGGTGGCAGTGGGCATGTGGAATCAGGATGGCCCCCTGCCGCCGGGCCCACAACTGTGAATGGGCCAGCTCTCCCGGGAGCCGGGTGGCAACTGGGCAGCCCTGTGTCCGGCCAGAGGCCAACAGGCACTCGGAACTGTCCTCCTGCTCCCCTCAGCACAGTGAATGGGTCCTGCCCGAAAGCCCCATCCGAGGGCAGCTCCTGCTCACCGGTGACAGCCACCAGGGCCAGGGTCAGGACCACAGCCTTCAGGGACATCCTGGGCTGGAGGAGGCTGGCACCGCACTGGACCTTCCTGGAATCGGCGCTGGCACGGAGGTCCCAGGTAGCTCACCTGTGCTGCTCTCCAAACTGGCTGAAGGTCGGGCCTGCTAGACATTTAAACCACGAGCTGCCCTCCCCTCGCCCCCTCCCAGTGTGGCTCCACGCTGGAAGGTGACACATTCCCGAGAGGCCTCTTGGACTTTGGTGACCCGAAGACGACGTGGAAGCTGACGGGACTTGGGCAACAGTCAGAAGCAGCTGCTCTCTGCCTCGCCCCGCCCAGTCCCGGAGGGCGGGGAGCGGGGGCTGTTGGAGGAGTGAGGCCCAGGGCGTGCCTGAGCCCAGGACGAGGCCTCAGAGGCCCTGCTGGCCGCTCTGGGTCTGCGCCAGGCTTGGGGAGCAAGGTGCACACCTCCTCTGTCTACCCCAGGGGAGAGAGCACCCCAGTTCTGACTCCATCTCAGAGCCCGGACACTGGACTGGGACACTACTGGGGCAGGGCACCCCGGAGGAAGGGCCCTGCGAGCCCTGGGCAGGGCCCTGTACTGGTGCTTGCCTCATGCCTGGTGCTGCCAGGCTGTGCCACCTTGTCCTTGTCTAGGATTCAAGCGGCCCAGCCCTGAGCCCGTTTCTCCTGGACACACGGGTTGTCAGGTGGACTGAATGAGCTGTTTCTTCTGAAGGGAGCAGTACGGTGCTGGCACAGAGTAAGACTAAAACATTGTGGGTGTTGCTGTTAAAAACATTTTTTCCTGATTTGGACCAAAGAACGCGCACCCTCCAGTGAGTGTGAGGGAGTCGACTCAGCCCGCTGCAGGCTCAGGGTGATGGACGGGGCAGCCCGAGGCCTGGCTCCTGTCCACTCCCCGCCGCGTACCCTGCACAGGGGTGCTCAGCTCAGGCGACTCTCGGGACCTGAGTCTTTCAGGGGGCCTCTCACCAGGGGGTGCCCAGGAGCGCTTCTCCTTGGACTTCTAACATTGTCTCCAGATTAGGTCACACACACAGTCGCGAAAGGACGTCTCTGCTGGACTGTGAGACGAACCTGTGGCATTGCACTGCTGGCTCCCCGGAGGCAGTGCCTGCATGCAGGTGGCTCCCGGTTAGCTGGCCAGGACAGGCCACACTGTGCTCACCGCGATGACCGTGGTTCCCGTCTCCCGTGCCGGAGGCGCTCGATGTCTCACGGGATGGTAACCCCTGAAGGCCGTCCGTTGCTCACACCCCTACTGCAGGGTCCCTCACGGTCGCCCCGGTGTCAGGGAGCTCCTTGTGCTGCCTCGCAGCAGTTAAGGGTTCTGTTCTGGAGTCAGACGCCCTGGTTTTACGTCTGGGCTTCCCACGTACTGTCTGTGTGACCTTGGGCAAGTCTTTCCACCTCTCTGAGCCTCAGCTGCCTCCTTGCTGTGAGGATCCCATGAGAGAATTCCACGACACTGGGGACGGTGCCTGGTACATAATGGGCACCTGTCCAGCATTCGCTGTGCGCTCCCCTGCAGCGCTGACCCATGGCCTGGTCCTGCTCCCGGGCAGGCACAGTGCAGCTGGGGGCGGCACAAAGCCTGGTGCTCAGGGCCCCCATCCGATCCCCCTCCCTCTGCCAGGGCCAGAGCTGAGGACGGCAGTGAGTCATGAGGACACCTCAGCTGCAGTGTGACCTCCTGGACTTACATTCCAAGTAGCAGGTGCCACCAGAACATGACAGGTTTGGAGTTTGTCCGTCTCCTCGCCCGGTGCACACGCTGAGTGTCTGCGCCTGGGAGCATGTCTGAGCGTGGCTGCCAGGGCGTGTACAGGTTCACACGAGTACGCAGACACATCCGCTGCCTGTGGGCACACAGCTCAGGCCTCGGAGAGGGATGGCGGCCGGTGCGTGCCCCCGCGGACACCGGGAGGCTGCGCCGCCTGACCTGCGGCGGGCGTGCCATCGACGATGCCTGCGCTGCCCAGCCTGGGGCACGTTTCCTCGCCTGTGGGCGGTGAGCGCCGCGGGCCGGTTAGAAGGCGCAGGTGCTGGTGGGCCGGCAGAGTCGGCCTCGGCCGGGCCTCTGGTTCTCTTTGGGCCGGGCCCTGTGAGTCAGGGGACGGCCACCGTGTGGGCACAGAGGCCCCGCATGGTGCTGGCGAGTCCTGTTCCTCTCCAAGCTTCAGCCCCCGGTCCGAACAACAGACAGACCTGCAGGCCGGTAGCCCAGCATGCCCTGCAGCCACCCCCTGCGGTCAGGCCAGGGGTCCGCCGAGAGACAGGAGTCCGAAGGGGACGTCTCAGGCTCAGGCACAGACAGGCCCAGGCAGGAACAGACAAGTCACATGGACATGTGTCCCCTCAGGGGCTCCACATGGGCCCTGCCTCAGGGCAGAACCCAAAGGGTTACCTCTGTTGGAACAGAAAGGATCTGGGTAGGATACTCGGAGGGACTTCCAGTGTGGACAGGCATGGTGACCAGGGCCTTTGGCGGGCAGGTTGAGTCACGTCTGCCCAGTCCAGCTTGGTGCCAGGGCAGCGACCACAGGGGCTCACGGACGCAAGTGGAAGCAGAGTCAGGCCACCCTCCTCCCAGCCCCGCCACGTTCTCACACGGATTCTCCCTAGAGCTGGTCTGTAGGCTGAGCCCAAAGTAGTCTCCTCATTGTGGGGGAGCCAGGGAGGAGGGGGGAAGAGGAAGGAGAAGAGAGAGGCAGCGTAGGCTGGCCACTGAGAGGGCCCGACCCAGAGAGCCCCCACCCTGCAGAGACCCGTCTGAGCTGCTAGGAGGGGCGCAGGCACTCAGGCGCCAGGCCCTTTAAGAGACAGGTCCCAGGTTCCAGGGCTTGCTGTGACCAGCCGCAGGGGCCCACACACCTGGCTGCTGGGTCCCTGTCCGCGTCCTCTCGCCTGCCCTCACTCGGCAGCCCCTGCCGTGCAGGAGAGGGGAGTTGGGGGTCAGGGCTGAGGGACCCAGCTGTCCCACTCAATCTAGCGCACCCGGGGGAGGATTTTGTGCCTCAGCCCTGTCTAGACTCTGGGAGTCCACTGTGGCCCTCACCTCCCGGGACGAGGAAGAGGCCAGAACGGAAGCGGGAAGTGGGCAAAGTTGCCCCCAACCTTCCCCAGTGCCCAGGTCCTTCAGTGACCTTCTAGCCACCTTTCTCCCCGGCACCAAGAGCTGTGCTCAGGAAGGGAAGGTCACTGCCACTGTGAGGCACGCTGTTTGGTCCAGCGTGGGCGTGAGGGCCGGGTCTTCCCCAGCCCCTCCGCTGCCGGGCTCTGTGCCTTGGATCCGTCTCTACCCATAGAACGGGGTGAATGATGTCTCCTTCACGGGAATCTGAACAATTAAGCTGTAACAGAAAACAAGGGCTAAGTCCAAGCAATGAGTCTCTAAGAGGGGAATTTCCAGCCTTAGCCGTGGAGGAAGGGTTCTGAGGGCAGGGCCAGGCCCTGTTCTTGGGCCCCTGACTGGGGCCCCTGAGGGGGTGTCTGCCTCCGAAGCCCAGTTTCTCCTGGAAGCACCTGCCTCCGCACTGCGCGGAGGGGGAGGGGGAGGCACGGTGTTCGGGAGGGAGGGGGGCTTTATTCGGCCCTCGCGGATCAGCCACTTGGCACACTTCCCCTGCGCTCCTCACTGCAGCTCTGACCTATCGGAACTCCAGCCCCGGTTCACAGAGGACATTTGGAAAAATCACCCTGGGGCGAAGGCGCGGACCTCCGAGCCGAGGTGGCGAGGGACGACTGTGTAAATAAAGAATCCTACTTCGCAGAAACTCATTTATCACAGTAGAGTCTGGGACTGATTAGCCGCGATACACGAGGCCGAAGTAAGAGGTCAGTCCATTTAAACCCAGGATGTCTTGGCTCTGAAGTCGCAGCGTCCAGAACTCACAGTCCCCTGACCGCGCCATCCAGGCCCAGGGGACACTCCCTCCAGCCAGGGCCTGAGGTCTCCCCGGACAGCCAGCTGCCCTGCAGGGCCTCTCTACGGCCTTGCTGTCCTCCAGCTGCCCCCAAGCCGAGTCAGCTGTGCTGAGAGCTCTCTGCACTGGGAACTGACCCCCACTGCCACCGTTTGGGGAGGGCCCAGCCACGAGCCCAGCTCCTGTCCAGGGAATGTTATCAGTGGGGCTAGAGGGCAAGGTGAGGAGAGGGGAGGGGGGCGGGGCAAAGGCCTTGGGCTCCGAGTGGCCTTGGCCCCGCTCCCAACACCCCCTGCCCTGGCCAGCTCAGGGAGGCTTCTGGGTAAGCAGCGCTGGGACTCAGGCCAGGGCTGGACATGCCGGGAGGCGCTGTGTAAACCACCGCGGCACCCTCCCGCACGGGCCTTGCCCACAGTGGTGATCGCAGATGCGTGATCCCCTTCCCACACCCCCCCAATGCCCTGGCTTGTTCCCAAGTTTAAAGAAAAGAAGCCCATTACCCTCTCACCCCACCCCCCAGCCCAGCCAGGCCGTTTCCAGGGCTTGGGGCGGGGAAGGGAAGGACCAAGGGGGTAGGGCGAAGGTGGGCCCAGAGGCCCCTGGCTCATCCCTCAGCCCCACTCCCAGCTCACCAGCTTCTTCCGGGGGAGCCGGGCTGCTGGGAAGCAATGTGACCTTTCCGGGCTCCATGTACCCCCAGTGCCTGAACCCACCTGGGCTGTAGGGGTGACAGGAGAGTGGCATGAATACCCACAGCCTTCTAGAGATTTCCCAACTCTCCCAGCAGGCCCGGCTGCATCTGGCCGCCCTGCCTAGGCCCTGGTCGACGCGGATCAGCAGGTGACCTTTGCCCAGCTCACAGGATCTTCAGTGCCCACTGCCCTGGGGACGATATAAAACAGGTCGGAACCCTCTTGTCTGCCTACTCAGTTCTTGCCAAGAAGCAGCTGCTGCAGGTACTGTCCCCGCCGGGGTGGGCGTGGGGGCATGGACAGGGGAGCAGGACAGAGCAGGAAAGGGGGGTCTCCCCGGAGCTCAGGAAGACTTAGGGCTTGGCGAGTGGCCCCCACCTCCGGTTGCACGCTGGGGGGAACAGCAGCCCATGGAGGGAGGCGCTGGCCCTGAGCTGCAGAAGGTGTGGGGGCAGGGCAGGAACTGGACCTGGCTGCACACTGTCCCTCGACGGCACGTTGAGGACTGCAAGGGGCCTAGACACCCAGTCCTTCCCAGACAAGACCGTCCGGAGAGGGGCAGAGAGTCACCCGGGTCACACAGCATGTGAGCGGCAGAGCCCTGACCAGAACCTGATTCCTAGTCTGGGGCGTTTTCTGCTGCACCCCACACCTCCCCGCTCTGGGCCGTGTCTGCCCGAATGCCGTCTGGAAGCCCCTCGTGTCCTCAGACTGGCGTGGGCGCGGCCTCTCTGCCTGCTTTGCCCGGCCCGGGGTCCCCAAGCTGCACCGACCCCAGGGACTGCAGTGCCCCTCACAGCCCCACCCTTGCAGGAACCAAGGTGCCATGCAGCCCCGGGCCCTCCTCGTTGCCGCCATCCTGGTGCTCCTGGCCTCCGCTCGTAAGCAGCTGTGGGGATGGGCCGGGGACAGGTGGGGGCAGCTTTCTGCCCAGAGGACCCTTGGGGGGTGGCTTGGTGATCTGGGCGCTGAAGGGTGGCTGGGCGGCAGCCAAGGGATCCCCAGAGGCTGGTCCACCCTACTCAGCCCTGCTGTCCTCACAGGAGCTGAGGAGACCAGGGAGGACTCCCTTCTGGGCGTCATGCACGGCTACGTGCAGCAGGCCAGCAAGACAGCCCAGGACGCGCTGACCACTGTGCAGTCCAACATGGCCGAGCAGGCCAGGTATCCTCACTTCCGTCCTTGGCACCAGCTCCCTCGGTCCCACCTACCCTGACTTGGCAACAGACCTGCTCTCTCTGAGCCCCTGTGCCCTGGTCCACACCACGGGGTCCCTCACAGGGCTCTCCCAGGCGGCCATGGAGAGGACAGAGGCATCCACCTCCTGGCCCTTCTCCCTTTGCTGTCCCTCTCTCCTCGCTCAGGCGCCTGCGTGGCCCTCACGTCCGTCTCCTCTTCTCACAGTCTGGCCAGAAGTTCGGCTGGGACGCCCCACCTGACCTGATTCAGCCCGGGGGTGGGGGTGGGGTGTGTGTTTGTTTCTACCTTGCTCGAGCCCGGGGTCTGTCCTGAGCAGACGCCCATCCTTCTTCTCCACCTGCCCTGCCCGCCAGGCCCTCCTGCCATCCCCGTGGCAGAGGCGTTCCCAAACCTGTCCTCAGCGCGGGCTGTGCAGCAGGTCCTATTTTCTCCACTTTGCAGATGAGAAAGCCGAGGCTCAGAGAGGTTAAGTGACCTGCCCCAGACCCCACAGCTGATAAATCCTATGATGATTTTCCAAACGAGAGATCATTTTCCTCTGACGCCTCCCACTCAGATCCCCAGACTATTGATTCCAGGGGCATCCCTGGCCTAGAGGGGCAGACCCGACCGCACACGCCTTCCCGCCAGGCACCCCCTTGCCTCAGAACGGGGTGGCCGGGACAAAGAGCCCTGCACTTGCCTGGGGTCCCGTCGCCACCTTCGGCAGCTGTCCTGCCTGGTGGGCTGGAGGGGACTCTGCCTGGGGTCTCAGGGGTGGCACCGGGTGGGGGGCAGTGGGGACACGGGCCCCAGGTGCCCCGGCCTGCGGATGAGCTCTCCCCTCACTGTGGCCCCCCCGTGCTCCCCAGGGGCTGGATGACAGATGGCCTCAGCTCTCTGAAAGACTACTGGAGCAGCCTCACGGACAAGTTCTCCGGGCTCTGGGATTCGGCCCCAGAGGCCACACCAGCTCCGGACTTTTAGGCCACCTGAGGCCTTGACACCCAAGTGTGCCTGCCCGTCCATCCTGCCGGCTCCTTGGACCCTGCAGCCTCCAGGACTGCCCCCCAAGTTCGCTTGAAAGGGACAGCATTCCATTGTCCTCCCATCCCACCCCCGGGCCTGGCCCATCCCCAGGCATGCTGTCCTCCCAATAAAGCTGGATGGAAAACCGCTGCGAGTGGGCATCCCACACGTGCTATGTGTGTTTGGGCGGGGCCGGCGCCTCCCGCCGCTTGGTGTCTGGGCTGCTTTTCTTCATCTGTAACTTAGAAACGCCCTCCTTACCCTGCCGGCCTCGGCACGTTTGTGGGGAGGGGCCAACAGGGTCACAGGGTTAACCACTTCGATAAACTGTCAAATACTGCACAACGTGACTCGAGTGTGTCCTGTGTGCCAGGCACTGTGCTTAGCCGTGTATGTCATCGTCAGAGTTGAGACTGTGTGTCCACCAAAGCTCCGGAGCTGCCCTTCACTGCCTGGCCCCTCGCAGCCGCACGGGAGGACAGGAAGCTGCTGGGGTCATGGTTGGAGTATCATTTGTCTCGGCTCGATTTTCAGCTCCATCAAGTTCTATGAGCCTCAGTTTCTTATCTGTGAAGTGGGCACAAACATACTCCCTCCATTGTCGGTTTGTTGAATGAATGTGTAAATGGATGCATGAATGCGTGAATAAGTGCATGCATGAATGCACCAATGCAGTGAGACCTTGCACGGCCTGTGCCACATCAAAGGTTCCTTAAATCGTTGTCATTGTTGCTCTCGTTTGAGCTGATTGTTCCCTTGGGACCAGGATTGGAGTGGGAGGGCCAGTGTCCTGGGAGCTAAAAAGGTACCCAAGGTCACCCACAGAGGGTGCTTTGCTTGTGTCCCTACTGCCCACAAGATGTTCTCGTCAGAGAGTTCTAGAACCACATTGTACTTGAGCGGTCTCCCCACTCTTCCACTGAAAAAGGGGCTGAGGAAAGGCATTTGCCTAATGTCGCAGAGCCAGCAAGTGCCAGAGCCGGACCTCAAGTCCAGGTCAGCGGCCCATGTTCTGCTCAGCTGACTCGGAGACCCTTAGCTACACCTATGCCAGGGGCCAGACAGATGCTGGTGGTGAATGCACACCCAGCCCCACCTGGAGACATCTACTGTCCCATTGCAAACCTCCCTGGGCAGGGACCCCAGCACCCACACCTGGGAAACGGTCTCACCCAAATCCGGGCTTGATGCTTATTGTTGTAGGTGGTTAGACCCCAGGGTGGTTAGAAACTAAAATGCTTGCTCCTTTATCCAAGAGCTGGTGAGACACTGGAGATGGAGGAGGGGCAATTATCCAGGGGTCCGTACATATGAGGGGGCAAAAGAGCCCTGAGGGGGGAAGTGGGGAAGGCACTGTCTTGACGATCTGTGAACCGTGTGCGCGTGCAGAGGGTACACGTGCCTGACTGTGAAGAGGGGCTGGCTGTGGACAGGGCTGTGCACAAGAATGTGGATACCTGTGTGCGCATCCAGGCAAACTTGAGTGCCTGGCCATAGACTTGTTTCCTTAAATAACGGAGATGCCCAGGGGCAAATAGGGCTGAAGAGGACAACCTCTCCATCTGCCTTCAGCCTCGGCGAGTTCGGAGCTCCAAGCCTGAGTTGCTCCTCCGGACCAGGAGTTTAAAGGCTGTCCACCCAGAATGTGGAGATGGGCGCAGTGGGATGATGGACAGGGAAGCATCTTGAAGATAAACGTGTGCTGACTCTGCAAGAGGTGGCGGTTCTTTCCCCAGCTCAGGCCAGAGCCGCCAGGGCCGGAGCCCCCTGGGGGGCTGGCACCGCTGTGCCTGAGGACCCAGGAGCTGTCTGCAGATGGGGTGGGAGTGAGAGACAGAGGCTGCACTTGCGAAAACAGAAAAGGGGAGCGTTTATTTAAATGCCGTTTAATTAATCAAGGGGGAGGGAGCAAGGGCCAAGCTCTTCCTTTGAACCTGCCCAAACCCTTCAAGTGCTCCTGAGGTCCACCCTCCCCCTCCTAGAGCCAGAGAGGACTGTGAGGCTCCTGTCCTCTGCCCAAGGGAACACCCCTGGGGACAGGAGCCCACTTCTCCGCGCAAACCCGCTCTGCCTCCCTTCCCTCCTCACACCGCTGCAGTCTTGTCTGAGGCTCCTTCAGGGCCCTGGGCACTGGAGTATGTGCCACTGTGCCGGTCCCTTACTTCCCGTCTGGAGAAGGGACCCACACTACCTCAGCCCAGCAGCGGGCGCCTAGCGGCTCCTCCGGCACGAGACCCCGAGAGCCTGGGGTTCCAGAGCCAGGGCTCCGCAGAGGTCCCTTCCAGTGGCCCGCACCCCCTCCCCATTCTTCCAAGACAGAATTTAGGGGGAACGTTTTACTGTTTAAAAGTCATCATGGAGCTTCAGAAAGCACAAAAGCCAACACCTGCGGCCGCTTTGTAAACGTTTATTCTAAGACCCCGAGCGACAGAGGGAGCCCGCAGAGGGCCAGAGTCCCAGCAGCGCGGCTCACTGGGTGAGCTTCTTGATGACATCGTCCAAGACGGTCAGGAAGCCGGCCTTTATGTTCTCCCACACCGGCAGCAGGCCCTGGTGCAGGTCCTCCAGCGCGGGCGACACCTTCTGGCCGAGCGTGCGCAGGTGCGTGCTGGCCTCGCCCTGCAGCTTGGACAGCCGCGAGTTGCCCTGCTTGAGCGCCTGCAGCCGCTCGGCCAGGCTCTGGCGCAGCTGCTCCCTGTAGGGCTCCAGGTTGTTGCGCAGCGTGTCCACGTGGGCGCGCGCGCGATCGCGCAGCGCCTCGCCCAGCGGCGTCAGCTTCTTGTGCAGCTCCTGCAGCCCCTGGCCCGCGCCCTGGCGGAGCTCCAGGCCCAGCGGCACCACCTGTTTGTGGTACAGCGCCACATCGTCCTCCCACTTCTTCTTGAAGTCTTCCAGGTAGGGCTGCACCTTCTCCTTCACGGCTGCCAGATCAGAGTTCAACTGCTGGACCAGCCCCCGTGAGTCCTTTTCCAGTTTGTCCCAGAAATCTGTGGTAACCAAGCCGAGCTGTTCGCGCACCTTGCTGAACGTGGTGGTCAAGTTGTCCCAGTTGTCCAGCAGTTTTAGGCTGAAGGTGGGGAGAGAAGGTCTAAGGGGTGCGGCCCAGGCACCCTGGACACCCCCAGACCTCCATGCCCAGCGCCCCAGCTTCTCAGCTTACACGTGGTGACAACTGCCTCTGAACGTAGGGTAGCTACGGGTCAGACCCGGGGCTGGCTTTTCCCATGTGGTGTCTCACCCAAGGCAACCCCGCTCCCCCAACCATATCCATAGACCACAGAGCTACTGGGAGACAGATCTGGGGTTGGTGTTCAGTCTTGTCTGTGCCCAGAGCTGGGCCATTTAAGGACCCATCTCCACACTTCCAGACCATTCTCCTCTCTGAACACAGCCACCGGGCTGCAGGGCAGGAGCAGACGGGGCAAGAAGGGCAAAGAGCTGGTTGTGGGCAGAACGTGATGCTGCGGTCACTGACCCGGCAGCGGTGGTCTGTCCCTTGCTGGGAGGCTGTGGCCCTGCTTGGAGATCCCATTCCTGTTTCTCCGTCCAGGCATGGGGACATCGGATAGCAGGTGGGGATTCAGCCAGTCTGGCCACATCTTCCCACAGGCCTGGCATCTGCCCCTCAGGGCCAGCAGGCTCTGCCCCACCCCAGACCCCAGACTGGGCCCTTACTTCAGCTGCTTGCCCACGGTGGAGTCTTCAAGCTGGGACACGTATTCTCTGCCGCTGTCTTTGAGCGCGTCCACGTACACTGTGGCTAAATCCTTCACTCGGTCCCATTGTGACTGGTGGTCATCCTGTGGCCAGAAGTGCTGGGCTTGGCTTCCTGCAGGAGGGAGGGACACTCGCCAGTTCAGGCCGGCTCTGCGCCGGGATCCCCGCCGAAAGGCCGGCGCAGGGGCAGGAGAGGGGCCTGGTGCGAAGTCTGCTCCCTGGGCCCAGAAGGGTAGACTTCTGGGGACTGAGGGAGGAAGGCCCTCCGGAGGGCTGGCTCTCTGGGTTGGGGGGCACTTACCCGTGAGGCAGAGCACAGCCAAGATCAGCAGCACTGCCTTCATCCTGGGTGACCTGGAGGACAGGGGCCCGGCTGAGTGGGTGGGTCTGTGGTGCAGGGGAGCCGTGTGTTCTCCCAGCTCATTCCAGGCAAGGGAAGAGGGGGTCAGGAGGCAGAAGGCCTCAGGCACCCAGAGCCCTAGCGTGGGGCAGAGCCTGCGCTCGGAGCTGGGGGCGCAGAGGGAGTGGGCGGAGAGCGGCACTTACCTGGCTGAGACTTCAGAGGTCTCTGGGCAGCAGCTTGCCCGGGGCCTTTTATGTGTCCAGCAGGGGCTGGACCAGGAGGCTGATAAGCCCAGCTCGGGCCTTGCCAATGCGCACGGGTCCTAGCAATGTGGAACTTAGAGTTCAAGGGTCAGCTCTGTCCCTGGGACTGGGCAAACAGAGTGGGCAAACAGGAAGCTGAGGGGGCTGCAGGCCAGGGATCAAGGGTTTAGGACGGGGCGGGAGGGTGGTGGCAGACTTGCAGGGCCCAGGGTCGGTCAGCTGTTTCCCACCATCGTCCACTGTGCCAGCAGGGGACGGGCAGCAGAGCCCACACTGGGCAGCGACAGAGGACGTCTCCTTGGCTTCCAGGGAGTGACGTCACACCCACCCGCCTCTCCCCACAAGGGCAACACTGGCCTCCAGCCGCACTCGCATCCCAACAGCCCCCGCAGACTCCTGCACAAAGGCCCGTGGTCAGAGGCAGCTGCGGCGGGGGGCCGGGGGGGTCGCTCCTAACTCCGAGATCTCAGAGACCACTACCAGTTCCAAACGGACCCTAGAGGCCAACAATCAAGTTGCCAACTTCCAACATGGTTATGTAAACATCTTACCTATTGCCCCCCAACACCCTACCATCTACCACGACCAAAGCTTCAAAAAAGAAAAGACTCCTAACACCAAAGCAGGGCGTGATCTCAGAATAGAGGACAGTCGCTGAAATGGAATATAGCTACCTTTGCATGGTTCTCATTTCCATTGGCTCACACAGGCGAGAATGGGTGCCAGCCCTCTGGGACCAGGGGAGGGGTGGGGAGCAGGCAGCAGGACTGCTGCTGAGCTGGGGGGGGGGGGGGGGGCTGGAGGAGCATCTCCCTGAGCCTCGTCTCCTGTCAGCAAAATGGAGACGAGAGTGGCTGGGGTTGTGGGAGGCCCCCGTGACTCCTGAAGATGTCAAGCGCTGTGTTCATTGATGCCGTTCGGCAAGGTTCTCTCAGAAGGTCCAGCCCTACCTCTGAATGGCCAAGCTGAAAGGTACTTTGAGATCGACGACTCCAGCCTCCCCGACCCGCCACCACCTTAGAGATGAGGAATCTAAGACAGTGAACGGGATTTGCCCAATGTCTCTGGTCTCCCAGCGAGTTGGAGGAAGGTCTCCAGGCTTGGAACCCTAGGCAGGAAGGTGACCTCACCATCTGCTCAAGAAACTCCCTCCTACTCTAAATACCAGTGCGGTGCGTCTATCTGCCGGGCCTTGGAGTGGCAGGCTCCGGGCCTTTGTCACTCTAGTGTCCCAAGCCTCACCTCGGAGAAGCAAGCTCTGGAGCCAGGCAACCTTGGGCTTGAATCCCAGCTCTGCCACTTGCTATCTGTGTGAGCCCGGGCATGTTCCAGAACCTTCCGGTGGATCAGTTTCTTGGTGAGGGTGATAGGTTGGGCAGGCAGAATAATGGTCCCTCAGAGATGCCCATGTCCTGCTCCCGAGAACCTGCAACTGTTCCCTAACATGACAAAAGGAACTTCGCAGAGGTGACCATAAGGACCTGGAGATGGTGAAGTTATCCCAGATTATCCAGGGGGGCCCATGTCATCACCAGCACCTTTATTTTTATTTACTTATTTTTATCCTCACCCGAGGACATTTTTTCATTTTTTGTTCAGATAGAGTGGGAGGGAGGGAGGGAGGGAGGGGGAGAGAGAGAGAGAGAGAAACATCAATGTGAAAGGGACACATCGAGTGGCTGCCACCCGCATGACCAACCAGGGCCAGGGACACTGCAACCAAGGTACATGCCCCTAGTGGGAACTGAACCCGGGTCTCTCTGGACCACAGGCCGACGCTCTAACCGCTGAGCCAAACCGGCCAGGGCACCAGCACCTTTAAATACGCTGGAGGAGGAGGGAAAGGTAGTGGTCAGAGGAGACCAGAAATGGAAGCAGAGGTCAGACTGACGTGGCCGCCGGAAGGAGGCCACGCACCACGGCTGCGGGTGCCTCTGGGACCTGGAAGAGGCGATTTAACAGTGACTCCCCAGAGCTTCCAGAAGAGATTGTTCTGCTGACACCATGCTTCAGCCCCGTGCGATCCATTCCGGACTTCTGAGAGCTGTACTGGAAGAGAAGGCCTTGCTGTCTTGGGCACTAACATCGAACACGTATGAGCGTGACTGAATGAGCACCTGGCACTTAGTGAACAGGAGACTCTGCTCCCACTGACCACACATGGTCAGAGCAGTGCTAAGACCTTGGCTCCAGGCAGAAGGGGGAAGGCAGGGGACCTCATTTCTCTGCACGATCTTGGCGCAGATGCTGAGAAGTGGGGTCTCTGGTCCAGGACGGAGCCAGCCCCAGAGGCCTGTGGGAGCACAGCCTTCGCGAACAGCCCCGCTTCCTGCCTGCTCACAGAGTGGGGGGCAGTCCCCTGCTGGGTCAGCTCACAAGTAGGTGTCTCAGGCTGAGGGGTTCCTTTCCTTCTGGGGAAGAGCTCATCCTAGCCAGGACATGGGGCTCTCAGAAGCTCCAGGTTGGGCTCCAAACTACTCGTCCCTGTTTCTTCCTCCTCCTTGGTTTGTGACTGGAAGGACCACCATGGCCAAACCCGCCACCTTGCATCCGCCTCATTCTCTGGTGGCCAAAGTGCTGTCATGAAGAACCGAGCGTGGCCCTGGCGGGCTGCAGGCCAGGCCTGCTCCTTGCTCGTCCGTCTGCGAGAAGACCGCAGCCCACAGCCCAGCACTGGGGTTGGCAGGACTGGGATCGGGCCCCAGACCACCGGTGCCCGGGTGGCCTGCTCAGGACCTCCCTCTCTGGCTCGGGGGTTTGGAAGCACGGGCTGGAGGGCAGTTGACAAGCGTGCTCACTCGGGTGTCTGCTCCATTTCACTGTCAGGTATTTGGCTTAAACTAGTCCAAGCCCGTCATTACTGGTATTTCAGGGCGGGGGGGGGGGGTGTCTTTCTGGACAGAGGCCAATGGGAAACACCACGACCAACAAACGGGTGCATCTCAGATCCAGACTGGGGGCCAGCCAGTCCTTGTCAGATGTTGAGTGGGTTGGACCGTGGGTGCCTGCAGGGACCCCCGTGTGGCCCTCTGCGCAGCTACGCTCTTGTCCCGACCTCAGGAGTCTCCAGAGGGAGTTTCTGAAGTGGGTCACCCAGCGGCTAGCTCTGGGACCCCCGACACCTGTGGAGTGCTGCCAGTGGACGGCAGGAGTGGATTTTGCTCCTTGTTTCACAACTGATGTCCCAGTGTCACACGGGGAGGACTCTGTCCCCTGCTAGCCTGGCACGCAGCAGACACTCAGCAAATATTGTGCACGGCATGGCACTGGCACACTGAAGGAAGGGTCACCAGGATGACAAAGGGTCACTGGAAGAACAGGCCTTGGGAGCAAACGCAGGGAACCCTGGGGCACAGCACTGCATGCGCACCCTGCTCAGAGCGTTTCCTCTGGAGCCTGTGCAGCACCGGTCCGAAGGTTCCCACCGGGCAGGAAGGGTGCCCCTGCCCACAGTTCCGATTTGGCAACTTTGTTGCAGCTTTCGGTGACAGAGCCCCAGTTTAGACCCTAGGGCAGGGCACTGTAGCTAACCAAATGCAAGGTTCCTTCAGGCCCTGCTGCTGAGGGGATGAGGTGAAGACAATGCCCTGGGACCAGCGTGAGTGGCGGCTGGCTCCCGGGGAGGCACACCAGCCTTCCCTGCTTGGTCTCTGCAGGTGGAGTGGGCTGGGGGCTACCACAAAGTCAGAAAGGTCGGGGACGATCTGTCAGCATGCTTCTATTTCCTAGAGCTCAGATCTCCAGGGCTGCGTGCAGGACGCAATGCCCTGATTCCTGTGTCCACCCCAAGGCACCTGGTTCCCTCCAGGAGGGCGTGGCACCTAGTTTAGAGGCTGTGACCAGCCCTGGCTGGCGTGGCTCAGTTGGTTGGAGTGTCATCCCATGCACCGAAAAGCTGCAGGTTTGGTTCCCGGTCAGGGCACACACCTGGGTCGCAGGTTTGGTTCCCGGTCAGGGCACACACCTGGGTCGCAGGTTTGGTTCCCGGTCAGGGCACACACCTGGGTCGCAGGTTTGGTTCCCGGTCAGGACACACACCTGGGTCGCAGGTTTGGTTCCCGGTCAGGACACACACCTGGGTCGCAGGTTTGGTTCCCGGTCAGGACACACACCTGGGTCGCAGGTTTGGTTCCCGGTCAGGACACACACCTGGGTCGCAGGTTTGGTTCCCGGTCAGGGCACACACCTGGGTCGCAGGTTTGGTTCCCGGTCAGGGCACACACCTGGGTCGCAGGTTTGGTTCCCGGTCAGGGCACACACCTGGGTCGCAGGTTTGGTTCCCGGTCAGGGCACACACCTGGGTCGCAGGTTTGGTTCCCGGTCAGGACACACACCTGGGTCGCAGGTTTGGTTCCCGGTCAGGGCACACACCTGGGTCGCAGGTTTGGTTCCCGGTCAGGGCACACACCTGGGTCGCAGGTTTGGTTCCCGGTCAGGGCACACACCTGGGTCGCAGGTTTGGTTCCCGGTCAGGACACACACCTGGGTCGCAGGTTTGGTTCCCGGTCAGGACACACACCTGGGTCGCAGGTTTGGTTCCCGGTCAGGACACACACCTGGGTTGCAGGTTTGGTTCCCGGTCAGGGCACACACCTGGGTCGCAGGTTTGGTTCCCGGTCAGGGCACACACCTGGGTTGCAGGTTTGGTTCCCGGTCAGGGCACACACCTGGGTCGCAGGTTTGGTTCCCGGTCAGGGCACACACCTGGGTCGCAGGTTTGGTTCCCGGTCAGGACACACACCTGGGTCGCAGGTTTGGTTCCCGGTCAGGACACACACCTGGGTCGCAGGTTTGGTTCCCGGTCAGGACACACACCTGGGTTGCAGGTTTGGTTCCCGGTCAGGACACACACCTGGGTTGCAGGTTTACTTCCGGGTCGAGGCACGTAGGGCAACTGATTGATGTTTCTCTCTCTTCCCCTCTAAAACCAATAATAATAATAACAACAACAACAACAACAAGAAGCCACATGTCCTTGGGTGAGGATTTAAAAACAAAAAAGATTGTGACAGTTGTGGGGAGGCATCTGGGTAAGTCACTGGTCTCAGACACACCCAGCTTTCCGTGGGAGGGAGGACAGACCAGACTACTGGAGGACCCTCTCGAGAAGGTTCTTTTCTGATCCAAACAGCCCCACTGTGACTTCAGTCCACGAGGGACTCGGAAGCTTCTGTAAGTGCCCGTCACTCTGCCTTCTGTGACCTCGGCCAGCACCCTCGGCTCGTCCTCCCTTAGCTGACCTCCAGCTAGCCATGCCGGGCCCTTGCAGGGACTGCTGTCCTGCTCTTGGGAGTCCAGGTGTCAAAAGGCAAGCAAGCCCTGGCCGGTCTGGCTCAGGGGTCAGAGCGTCAGCCTGCAGACCAGAGTCCTGGGTTTGATTCCAGCCAAGGGCACGTACCTCGGCTGTAGCTCAGCCCTGGCCCTGGTCGGGTCGTGTGGGAGGCAACCAGTCAATGTGGCTCTATCACATCAATGTTTCTCTCTCTCCCCCTTTCACTCTATCGAATGATAAGTAGAAAAATATCCTCGGGTGAGAAATAAAAAAAAGGCAAAAAGAACAGGAAAAGTCCCCTTGCTACCTAACCCTGGGCGGATGGGGCACCTCACAAAGGCCTACCCTGGAGGCCCCAGGTCCGTGAGGCCCAACTGCTACTCCTTCCCAAGGACCCTCTCAGGCATCTGTTCCCCACCCAGCTCAGCAAACTCCCCCGAAAGGGCCGAGTCCGAGCTGGGTGCGGGGCCACCGTGCGGAGCTGGGCTCGGGCTCCCAGCGAATGCTGGTTTACAAGGTGGGGAGACAGTGCACTGCTCAAGCCCCCGCTCCTGTGGCCAGTCTCCGTCGCCACCGCCTGGATGCCTCTCCCAAGACTGGGAACCACAAGCGAACCATGCGTCAGCATGAGACGGCAATCGGTCTTTTATTTCCACAATCCCCTGCTGTCCAATTAAGTTACTAAGCTGTCAGTGCCCACGAAAAGGGGCTCAAGGTCTTACCGCAACTTGGTCTGGAGATGTTTTAAATCCTTTTTTAGTTCAACATAAATGAAAAAGAAAAAAATACTTCTGACATTTTCAAAGAACAGAATTAAGAAAGTATATTAATATACATTCAACATATACTGCACATATGGGTTACTACAATACAAAGCAATGATTTTAAAAGTGTAGTTCGCAAGATGGCACGATTTGTAGGCCCGCTGCTGCCGTCTGGCGCCCTGGAGGGTGGCAGTCTGCTCTCCCGCCAGCCCAGCTCCATGTAAACACAGCAGGCGGGCTGGGCGGCAGGCGGGGACTGGAGGTGAAGGAGCCCAGAGAAGTCAGACAGCAGCTGTCCAGGCCCTCACGGTGGCCCCCTTCTGGTGAGTCGTTGGTGGCCCCAAGGGGAGGGTGACGGGGACCACGGAGCATGGGACACCCCGAGAAAGGCTTGCACTGCGGAGACCATCGAGGGCAGTGGCCGAGAGCTGAGCTGCCAGTACCGGAGAGAAGCCAGCGCCACGGGGACCCTTCTCTGACCGCCGACGGCCACACTGGGCGCTCACATCTTTCTGTGCGAGTTCCGGATGAAAGACCAGTAGGGACCGGGGGCATTTACTCTCCTTCCCCAGAAAAGCAGGATCACGAGCCAGAATATTTAACATCCCTTTTGTTTTGAAGATCGAAGGAGACAGCCAGACCCTCTGTCAGCCCAGCCAGCACACGGACTCTGGCTCTAACGTGAAGAAAACAAAGACGATGACACAAACACCACCGCGCGCTGCGGCGACGGCCCGCCTGCACTGCACGGGGAGGGCTGGCCACGGCCGCGGCGTCTGCAGAAAGTACTCTGAACAAAAGGTGCAAGTCACAGTTCAAATAGAACAGAATCTGGTTAAACATTTCTCTTTTAAACAAAAATTCCTTGTTTTTATTAATAATAATAATAACAATAATATCAACATTTACGAAAACAATTCCTACATGATCAAGAATTAAAATAGGGAATGAGGATGCCGGGAGGAGGAGGGCAGGCGAGGGCAGGCGGGGGCAGGCCCGACAGCCTCCGCGTCTCCTGCCTGTGACGGAGGCTGACGGGACGGTGTGGGGCAGTGCGGGGGGACGACCCTTTGTGGAGCACGACGCCAAGAAGAATGTAAGAGGCACAGAAGCACAGGTGCCCGCGGCGTGCCCGGTCCACGGGCAGAGCCAGCAGGATGGTAAGGCGACCAACTGCCCAGGTCACAAGCAGGGAGCTGAGCTCACACCGAGCCGCACGCCCACCACGGGCCCCGCCCAGCCGCAGGCTCACACTCCGGTAGGACCTTGGCTGGACCAGACCGCTTTTCAGTGGGTCCCAGCAACCAAGGGCTCCCAGGCTCCGGGCTCGGGCTTGCTCCTTTTGCTCCCCAAGGGCCAAAGGCCTCACCCCTCCCGTGCCCTCCCAGCCCTAAGCCTCCGGCAGCTGTATCCTTTGGTTTTGCTCCTGGAGGAGCAATGCAGAGCACTGGAGGGTACCCTCAGGATGGGGGGAGGGAGCGGCTATGGGTCCCCTGGCCTCTGTACTCTGCTCTGCTCTTCGTTCTCAAAAGAGAAAAAAAGAAAGAGAAGCAAAGTAAAAAAAAAGAAAGACAATCACCTCCAAAAGAAAACACCAAAAACCCCAAACCAAAACCAAACCAAACCACCAACTGAAATACACCGAATACACTTTCACAAGAGGTGGCGACCGTGACTTCCTGTTTATTTCCTCGGTGACCTGGTCGTACAAGCAGACGGGCTCTGTCCCTCGGAGCCCCAGGGACAGCACACAGTGAAGCCAACGTGGGGGAGGAGCCGGCATCTGGGGGGAGACACATGGCGACCCGGGGATGCTGCTGGGTGCTGTGGGTTCGAAGTCCACTCTTCATCCCGAGCTGTACACAAACCTGCAACAGAGCGGACACACGGCAGTCAGGGTGGACAGAGGGACTCAAATGTCCCACTGAGAACTTCTCACAAACGCAGCTGCGCAGCGTGAGCGGGACCTCTCTCTGCCGTGCGAGTCCCTGCTCAGCCCACCTTGCGGAACATTCCGGCAGCCAGGCCCCTCCCCCACCTGCCTCCAGTTTTAGAGATCTGGATTTCACAGGAACTGACCACTTGGGCTCCTTGTCTGTGTTCTCTCCCCTCTTTGAGTTCCTGCTCTTGTACGTTTTAAACTCACCGATGAGCCTGCAGACCCCAGGACCGCCTGGCCCGTTCCTCCCTCCCGACTGCACGATCTCTGGGTGCCCAGGTGGCCTGCGGGCTCCAGGCCTTGAGGAGTAAACCTCACCTTTCCACAGCTCCCTGACTGAAGGCCACCGCTGAGGGCATCTCGCAGTCACAGTGAGCAGCACAGGGACGGTGCAGCCACAACACCGGTTACGGGTGGGCTGAGCCCCCTCGGGTTTCTGGCCCGCCACACAGGCTCTGAGATGGACTTGCCGGACTCACCGAGTCTGTCCAGAGAACCAGCACGCCTGCTATGCTCGGTCAGCATCAGCCCCGCCAGGCCAGCTCACCCCTTTCTACCACTGGTTTCTGATGGCCACTGCCCGTGTCTACTTTCTGCCACTTGCAGCACAGCCTTAAAAATGACGGCTAGACAGGTTTTCTTGCGGGGCTTCAGCTGTCGGGACTGTGTCCCAGGACCACCTCCTAGGACTATGGCCACAGGCGCCCGCCCGCCCGCCCGCCCAGGCTGCACGCACGAGTCCTATCCCTTACGTGACCCCGGCCAGCACCTTCTGCTGGACGCACCGCCCACAGCCCCAGCGACGCGCGTGGTGCCTGGCAGCAGAGCGGCCGCTGCGGACCGAAGGGACAGGGGCGCGGTGGAGCCGTGGGGAAGGGCCCTCCCCCCGGACCCGGAGCTGCGCTGAGCCGAGGGGTGGGTCTGGCCCTGGCCTGGCGACACTCACTGTGGCTCCTGTCACACGCCTGCCTGCTCCATGCTGAAGGAGACCTCGGGGTGCTTGTAGCTGAGCAGCATGTCTGTCATACACGTGGACGGGTAGCGAGAGGAGCCCAGATGCTGGCTGCCATCGGTCAGGTCTGCGTGCTCGTGACCTCCTACACTGTCCCCGAATTCTGAGGACCAGAGAGAACATGTGAGAACTGCAGGGAGCTGGGGGGAGAGGGGGAGGCGGACAAAGGGAGAGAGAAGTCTGGGCCCACAGCCTGCCTCCCAGCAGGCCTCGGTGTGCTCAGGGCTGTGGTCCAGCCGGGCTCTCCTGCGTGTCTGTCTTTCGCTCTCCTTACTGTCCCCACCGTCAAGCTCCATCAACAACTGCGGAGGCGACAGACGCTGCTCCTGGGGAGACTCTCCTCCGGAAGGGAGCCGACGACGGCACAGCCCGCAGACGTGGCTGCCGGGGTGCGTGTGGGTCGGCCCAGCGCTGAGCGCCCCAGCGATGCTCACCACAGTCCAGGCACAGGCTCAGGGCCCTGCCGCCAGCAGGGGGTGGGGGGGGCTCAGGAAGGCCGGTGCCCTGCCCACGCTGCTGCACAGGCCGCCTGTGACGACACCCTCCCTTGGCTGGCCCTAAGGGGAGGCAGACACATTCCATCTGGACATAGTGACCTCTCGTCTGAACAGAAACAGCCATAAAGGAGCCCTAAACACACACAAATGGAGCTGCGATGTCCTGCCTCCTTTACGCACCCGCTTGGCGACCCAGAGGTGGGAAGGGCTGTGTCCAGACCCCTGTGGGCCCTGTGTGCCCGTGAAGTCTGTGCAGAGAGGAGCAGTCAAGGGGAGGGTGGAGCGGGCTCCAGAAACTTCTCTGGCACCCTATGCGAGGCTGCGTACCCTCGTCGTCCCCGTCGCGAAGCTGCTGGCCGCCCACGAGCGAGGCCTGACTGAGGACGGCGTCCGACATGCGGGCCGAGCTGAGCGCTCTCCCCGCCACGAGGCTCATCCCAGGCAGGTCGTCCAGCTGCACCTGCGGGCGGGCGCGCCGTGAGGACCGACCCTCCTGAGGGCGCAGGCGGGCCCCACGCCGTGCTCCCAGACCCTCCCCCACTGGGGGCGTGGGGCTCCCAGCTTCCTGACCTGCCCCAGCCCCAGGAGTCTGACTTAGGACCACACTGTCCAACACTGCCCTCGGAGAGGACGGAATGTCCCGATGCCTGTCCAACATGGGGTCACCAGCCACGTGGCTACTGAGCCCTTGAATATGACCAGAGTGACTGAGGAACCAAATTTTAAATTTCATAATGACATTTAAATCGGAATGGCTACGTGTGCCGGTTGCTACTGTGCTGACCGGTGCCGTGCCAGCCGCCCGCCGAGGAGACCACGCCTGCTGTGCACGGCGGGTGCCTGTACCGAGCACACTCAGCGTGGCTGCCGGAGGGCCCGCCGTCCTGGGCTCGCATCTGGCGGTCAAGGGAGAAGCTGACTGACAGCCTAGAGAGGAGGGGAAATGCGGAGTCGATTCTCGAGGCTCTGCGCTCAAGGACTGCCCTGGGGGCAGAGGGGCTGGGCTCTGGCTGGGGAGTCTGGGGCAGCCCACGTGGCTAAGTTCTGTGTCAAGGCTGGGATTGGCAGGACTCATTTCTGAGAAGCAGGAGGGACCAACATACATAGGCATCGTCACTGTTCTGGATCGTGTGGTGTCTCTGGAGCGTCCGGGGCCTGTAGTGCTCACTGGCCGGGGGGCGTGCCGGGTACCCCAGCCCATCGCGCTCCGGCAGCTCGGCTGCTTGTCCTGGAGAGCTCCGGTCCATGCAGTTCCCTGTGACAGATTCTGAGCACACGGCAAACAGGGTCAGCAGACCTCGAGCCTCCCAGCACAGCCAACGCCTATCAGAAAGTGCCTCGCAAGGGGCAGTGGCCAGTGGCCAGGACCACATGTGCACCACCTGCGACTCCTCAGCTAGCGGGTGACGGCGCTCAGAGGAGCCCGGGCCAGGCGTCCACCCCACAGCCCTGCGACCTGAGCCTCTTTATGGAGGGATCGTACCCCAGGGAGAAAAACCCCACACGCTGAAGGCTGACCACACTGAGTCTTCTCTTCTTTCTTCCTTTCTGTCGACTCGATAGGACTGTGTTCTCAAACCTAGATGCACGCGGAAGACACTCTCGGAGTGGCCAGGACGAGCCTGGGAGGGTGGCCTCCCTTCTGCGGTGCCGTCTCCTTCCCCGCCTTCCGTCTCAGGGCACCCAGGCCGCTGCCCTGCTCATCCAACTCCTTCCCCCCTCCTGCAGCTCCTCAGCTTCACCTTTCTGTCCCTGACCGTCTCCTTCCCCACACTTACTTGGCGACAGCATCTGCGGTCATGGCCCCCGAGACGGCCCCGGTACAGAATGACCGGACGCTCTTCTAAGCTGCGGATCCGCAGCTCCGACTATTCACCAGACGCCTTCTCTGCACTCCTAACGAACACCCAACACTTCGTGTCTAACTCCGAGCTCACCAACTCCCCCACAGCCAGCTCCTCTTCCGGAGACCCGCGTTCTCGGTGCCTGTCTCCCTGGTCTGGGTGTGAGCTCCCAGGGCCGCATTCTCGCTTCACGGCCACTCGGCCGTCCTTCTATTCCCGTCGCTTCCCCTGGAGCCTCCTGCCTCCCGCCCGGACCGCTGCGGCTGCTCCTGACACCCTCGGCCACCGCCAGAGGCCGGCCTCCCGGGAGGCTGACCTGCCACCTCACCCTCACGCCTTCCCAGCCCGTCTTCCGGTGAGTCCGCCGCACCCCTGCCCCTTGCCGTCCAGGCTCTGGTCAGACGGGACCACGGAACCCTTCCCCCCCCAATCACAACTCTGTTTGCTCTGCTGTTTGCTCTCCCCGAGAATGCTTGGTTCTCCCACTCCCACGCCTGCCCGTCCAGACCAACGCACCTCCTAGGGCCATCTCAAATGTTAACATCTTCATGAAACTTTCCCTTTTCTCCTTTGTCAGAAGGCTCGATTGAACTGATGAGTCTAACATTATTCCTGGCACCGGGTTTGTGAACTTGTCTTAACCAATCAAATTGGACTGTAAGTTCTTTGAGGACAAGAATCGTATCTTATGCATGTCTGTGAGCCCTCTGTGTCCCCGAACACTGTCCTCCACCCAGGGAGCAGCCAGCAGTCACCGCCCCAGCTGAGGTAGCACATGCTGTCAGTGTGGACCGGCGCCGGCAGCCAATGCAGCACCTGGACTGGGCTTTGGAGGGCTCGGAGGAGTGAGCGTTTCCTCTTGGCCAGGGTGGTGGAGGAGAGCACCAGGCCGCTGGAGAGAGCGCATCCTCCGGGATGCGCGTCTGGCTCCGCCCTTAAGAGCCTGGCGCCCCTTTGGTTTGGGAGTTTTCTTTGGGTGAAGTTCCTGGGCAAACCCCGGGCCATCTCCCGATGAGGCACCTGGGCGAGGCCAGGCTCCTGCAGGAGGCACAGCCCCAAGGCTAACAGCCATTCCAACAGCTCCTGGAGCGATGACAGCAGGACGCCTGCCTGAGCGGGTGGGGTCTCAGGTCTCCACCCTGAAGCGGTCTCCCTGACAACCAGGCTCTGCCTGGGCTGGGGCTGAGGTGGGGTGTGAAGGGAGGGAACTCACTGGCGTGCACACTGCTCGTGATGCGAAACCTTCCGGAGGAAAACGAGCGGAGGGGAGCTCCGCAAGGACCCCGAGGAAAGCAAGGGGACGTCTGGACGCTCCGAGCAGAGAGGGAGAGAGAGCCTGCGCCAGGCCGCTCTGTGGCATTAGATCTCTGTCCCCACCCCTCTCGGGGGCAGTCTCCGATGGCCCACGGCCCACAGAAACCACTGACAGGAAGGGGTGTGGCGATGGTATGAGGAGGCAGGACCCAGCTGCCTGGACTGTGCTGCCAAGAAGCAACACAGACAGCGGCTTGCACCTTCCCAGAGTGCTCCCTAGTCCACCTTCTCTCCTCCCAGAGTGCTCCCTGTTCCACATTCTCTCCTCCCCAGAGTGCTCCCTGGTCCACATTCTCTCCTCCCCAGAGTGCTCCCTGGTCCACATTCTCTCCTCCCAGAGTGCTCCCTGGTCCACCTTCTCTCCTCCCAGAGTGCTCCCTGGTCCACCTTCTCTCCTCCCAGAGTGCTCCCTGGTCCACCTTCTCTCCTCCCCAGAGTGCTCCCTGGTCCACCTTCTCTCCTCCCAGAGTGCTCCCTGGTCCACCTTCTCTCCTCCCAGAGTGCTCCCTGGTCCACCTTCTCTCCTCCCAGAGTGCTCCCTGGTCCACCTTCTCTCCTCCCCAGAGTGCACCCTAGTCCCACCTTCTCTCCTCCCCAGAGTGCTCCCTAGTCCCACCTTCTCTCCTCCTCAGAGTGCTCCCTAGTCCACCTTCTCTCCTCCCCAGAGTGCTCCCTAGTCCACCTTCTCTCCTCCCCAGAGTGCTCCCTAGCACCCACCTTCTCTCCTCCCCAGAGTGCTCCCTAGCACCCACCTTCTCTCCTCCCCAGAGTGCTCCCTAGTCCCACCTTCTCTCCTCCCCAGAGTGCTCCCTAGTCCACCTTCTCTCCTCCCGAGTGCTCCCTAGCACCCACCTTCTCTCCTCCCCAGAGTGCTCCCTAGCACCCACCTTCTCTCCTCCCCAGAGTGCACCCTAGTCCCACCTTCTCTCCTCCCCAGAATGCTCCCTAGTCCCACCTTCTCTCCTCCCCAGAGTGCTCCCTAGTCCACCTTCTCTCCTCCCCAGAGTGCTCCCTAGTCCACCTTCTCTCCTCCCAGAGTGCTCCCTAGTCCACCTTCTCTCCTCCCCAGAGTGCTCCCTAGTCCACCTTCTCTCCTCCCCAGTGTGCTCCCTAGTCCACCTTCTCTCCTCCCAGAGTGCTCCCTAGTCCACCTCTCTCCTCCCAGAGTGCTCCCTAGTCCACCTTCTCCCCTCCCAGAGTGCACCCTAGTCCCACCTTCTCTCCTCCCCAGAGTGCTCCCTAGTCCACCTTCTCTCCTCCCCAGAGTGCTCCCTAGTCCACCTTCTCTCCTCCCCAGAGTGCTCCCTAGTCCACCTTCTCTCCTCCCCAGAGTGCTCCCTAGTCCACCTTCTCCCCTCCCCAGAGTGCACCCTAGTCCCACCTTCTCTCCTCCCCAGAGTGCTCCCTAGTCCCACCTTCTCTCCTCCCAGAGTGCTCCCTAGTCCACCTTCTCTCCTCCCCAGAGTGCACCCTAGTCCCACCTTCTCTCCTCCCCAGAGTGCACCCTAGTCCCACCTTCTCTCCTCCCCAGAATGCTCCCTAGTCCCACCTTCTCTCCTCCCCAGAGTGCACCCTAGTCCCACCTTCTCTCCTCCCCAGAGTGCACCCTAGTCCCACCTTCTCTCCTCCCCAGAATGCTCCCTAGTCCACCTTCTCTCCTCCCCAGAGTGCACCCTAGTCCCACCTTCTCTCCTCCCCAGAGTGCTCCCTAGTCCCACCTTCTCTCCTCCCCAGAGTGCTCCCTAGTACACCTTCTCTCCTCCCCAGAGTGCTCCCTAGTCACACCTTCTCTCCTCCCCAGAGTGCTCCCTAGTCCACCTTCTCTCCTCCCCAGAGTGCTCCCTAGCACCCACCTTCTCTCCTCCCCAGAGTGCAACCTAGTCCCACCTTCTCTCCTCCCCAGAGTGCAACCTAGTCCACCTTCTCTCCTCCCCAGAGTGCTCCCTGGTCCACCTTCTCTCCTCCCCAGAGTGCTCCCTAGTCCCACCTTCTCTCCTCCCCAGAGTGCTCCCTAGTCCACCTTCTCTCCTCCCCAGAGTGCTCCCTAGTCCACCTTCTCTCCTCCCCAGAGTGCACCCTAGTCCCACCTTCTCTCCTCCCCAGAATGCTCCTTAGTCCACCTTCTCTCCTCCCCAGAGTGCACCCTAGTCCCACCTTCTCTCCTCCCCAGAATGCTCCCTAGTCCACCTTCTCTCCTCCCCAGAATGCTCCCTAGTCCACCTTCTCCCCTCCCCAGAGTGCTCCCTAGTCCACCTTCTCTCCTCCCCAGAGTGCACCCTAGTCCCACCTTCTCTCCTCCCCAGAATGCTCCCTAGTCCACCTTCTCTCCTCCCCAGAGTGCTCCCTAGTCCACCTTCTCCCCTCCCCAGAGTGCTCCCTAGTCCACCTTCTCCCCTCCCCAGAGTGCTCCCTAGTCCCACCTTCTCCCCTCCCCAGAGTGCACCCTAGTCCCACCTTCTCTCCTCCCCAGAGTGCTCCCTAGTCCCACCTTCTCTCCTCCCCAGAGTGCTCCCTAGTCCACCTTCTCTCCTCCCCAGAGTGCTCCCTAGTCCCACCTTCTCTCCTCCCCAGAGTGCTCCCTAGCACCCACCTTCTCTCCTCCCCAGAGTGCTCCCTAGCACCCACCTTCTCTCCTCCCCAGAGTGCTCCCTAGTCCACCTTCTCTCCTCCCCAGAGTGCACCCTAGTCCCACCTTCTCTCCTCCCCAGAGTGCTCCCTAGTCCCACCTTCTCTCCTCCCCAGAGTGCTCCCTAGTCCCACCTTCTCTCCTCCCCAGAATGCTCCCTAGTCCACCTTCTCTCCTCCCCAGAGTGCACCCTAGTCCCACCTTCTCTCCTCCCCAGAGTGCTCCCTAGCACCCACCTTCTCTCCTCCCCAGAGTGCTCCCTAGCACCCACCTTCTCTCCTCCCAGAGTGCTCCCTAGTCCACCTTCTCTCCTCCCCAGAGTGCTCCCTAGTCCACCTTCTCTCCTCCCCAGAGTGCTCCCTAGTCCCACCTTCTCTCCTCCCCAGAATGCTCCTTAGTCCACCTTCTCTCCTCCCCAGAGTGCAACCTAGTCCACCTTCTCTCCTCCCCAGAATGCTCCCTAGTCCACCTTCTCTCCTCCCC